TATTATCAATACTAAAAACAGAAAAAATTGTATAAAAATGTAAATAAATTTTAATTTCAACATGAATTGTAATGGATTTATAATAGTTATGAAAGATTATGAGTTTGAAAAACACGCAGGTTTGAAAAAGTGTGTTAAAATAATTTGAAAAGTATTTGTCATTAAGCTACTTTCTTTAAAAAAAATACTGAAATTCGTTTTTTTCTTTATTTCTTTTCAATCGATAGAAAGAATAGGTAATTAACAAGTGGTGATAAAAAATAAGAATACATGGACTAAAAAAAAAATTAAAAACTAATAATTATGACACACACACTGGGTACAGGCATTACCGATAAAGTGTCTGTAAATCAGGTGCGCAATATTAGACCTAACATCCATGATTCTCGGTGGGCGAGTCCGATGCTCTGTCGACCGAGCCTCAGCGGGCCCTTCCGAATCGTTCACTGGTTTTTTTTATACATTTAAACATTTATGTACATCCAAAAAACAAAAAATAATTTGTTTCCGAAGAGAGAAAAAAGACTCACCCATCTCGAGATCCTTTTACGTCGAAGTATCCCGTAGTAAAGAAGCGATCGGTGAAGAATTGGGCCGCTAGGCCGTAGGACTCCTTAGCCGTGACTTTCCTCAGCCAAGACGCGCTCCCAACGCGCTGCGAGCCTCTGCTCGGTCGTCCCGCACTTTCTCGTGATCCTTGCCGCCGTCCAGGCTCCACTGTGTTCATTTGTTGCAGCTCCGACCTTTCTTCCCTCTTCCCTGCTCCTTTTCCACCCTCGCCCCTTGTTTTTTTCTTCGAATCCTCTCTCCAACACGTTCTCCCCCTCTTGGCTCGATTCCGAAAAACGATCGAGTACCAGTCAGTGCAGCGACGAGCGACGTCTCGCTTGATGCCTCACCAAAAACCGAGGAGCGAATCCCGCGCGCACTCGAGAAGATTTTTTGAACGGTCCCGTGCGCCCTCGAGGACACCCGATTAACAACTGAGGTGACGAGCGACGAGCTGCCGCCTTAAAACCCTCGCCGAGATAACGCGCCTCGGGCCTCTCTCCCTCCCTCTTTTCACTACCGTCGACCGTACACTATGACTTTTCCTCTCTGCTCTCGTTCGACACTTGCTCGGCGTGTATAAGTGTACAATCGGGTGCTCGGACTCGAGCGTATTGTTTGCTCCCCAAGTTTCTTCCTCGGGGCTTATCGGCGCTTTTGGCTGCTGCCGTGGGTTTACCTGAGTGGAATCGCTACGGTGGCCCACGGTCCAGATCTGGCCAAGCTGGTATCTGGAACAAAGAAGGGTTGGTTTGTTATTTTTCATTGGGTTTTTCATGGATTCCGTAGGTCGATCGCAGTGACTTGGAATTTGGGGGAGATTTCATACGGAAGTGCTAGAGTATACCATCCGATGATACGGTTGGGTGCTTACGTCGCCATGTTGGGGTTACGCGAATTTACCTTCACGAGCCCATTCATACATATGTACACGATTTTTGAGCGAATTATTACAAAATGCCAGAACCTTATTGCATCATGTCGAAATTTGTCGTTTAGTGACTAACTATCACTTTTTTGCACACCATGTTTCCAGGGAACCCAAGGGTTTCCCTTACGTCGTTGTACACAAAACATTCCTCTCGCTAGTTAACAAACAATGCCGGTGAACTGAAAATGTGATGTGGTTTGCTAAGACAATAACTAATATGCGTAAAATTGGTGTTATTAAAGAGTTTTTATTTATCGATAAAGACTTTTGTTACAGAAAAACGTTTTTGTCTCAGTCCAGATAAAAAAAAAGATAGGTATAACTTTGTAGCTAATAGGTGCGTAGCCCGACAATGGCTCTCTAAAAATAGGCATGCAGTACTGTCATCAGTGATTTCTATTTGATAAAACGATTCAACCATAATTGTGCAAGAAAAGACGCGTTCGATCTATTTATCATGAAATAAAAGAATAATGATTCACGACAGATGTTAAAAAATAATAGCGCCAACGAAAACGTGGTCCCATTGTTGAACAGTGTCGCTTAATCAATTTAAATAGAGCGTGTACGGCAGTACACAAACACCGATAAAAATGCGCGAGAGCCCGTCAAAGGAAAACATAAAATCGCGACCAACAAGCCTTTCGAATTTCATATCCTTATCTCACAATTGAAGTTTGCTCTAATAACACATCCCCGTTTTTCCAGTCACGGCGAGTACACAAAAACACGCGCTGCTGCCTCGCGATCGCATGACGTCTCAATTACCAAAAAAAAAAAAAAAAAAACATCCACAGTCTCAGAATGCAAAAAAAAATCTGCAAACCCAACGAAACGTTGTAAAAAAATCGCAAAGGCCGCGGAGCAAGGACCTTGACATAGAAAGACAAAAAAAAAAAAAAAAAATCTCATGCTCTTTCGTTCAGTGTCTTTTACGCAGAGGCAATGCCTTTAGCCGCGTGAGCACACGCAGTCCCGAGCCAATTTTTCAAGGTGCGCGTGACGCGCTGAATTTTTCATCGTCGCCCCGCACGGATCCCCCGATATCTCCAAAATCGGTCACCGATAAAGACCGGCATTCTTGTTACTCCGAAAAAAATCCAGATGATTCCTCGCCAAACCGGCTTTTCCGCGCGATCGTTAATTTTTTTCCTCCCTTTGATTTTCGCCGCGCGCGCGTGGAAAAGCTCCTCTCCTACGATTGGCTTTTATTGCCTCCATTGTTTCCTCCGGCCGGCAATCAACGAGCTCGTCGCGGTGGCTTCTGTCNTCGTGGTGGTATAAGCCAATGTTGCAATCGGTATGCCAAGGCCAATAATTCTTTAATTCTTCCAATGTTCGTTGTAATAAGAGATAACACACTCGCGCGCCGTGTTTGCCGAAAAAAGGCGAAATCCCAGTGTTGTTTCAGGTGTGAAAACATATTTGTTTCGCGCCAATTGAGACGTCAAATCGTCGATATCGCTCCAAAAGGAAGAGAGGAAAAAACAAATCGGTAGCGAGTCGCAAGTGGAGAGGATGCGACGTTCGAGTAATCGCGCCAGCTGATTAGCATCTTGGGCTTCCGGGGGAAACGCGAGCTCCTTTTGCGGGCTTGGGCGAGCGGGAGGAAGGAGGCCGGCGATTGTGCAACAAGTGGCCGGCCGGTAACTCGGTCGGGCCTTGGCTTTGAACTTCCTCCTCTTCGACTTTGCTCTTGCGATGGCCTTGTCTTGCCGAGTGCTGGGTTTTCGGACTCTACACTTTTGGTATTCTTTTTTCTCAAATCGCTCGAAAATTTTACTGCAAATATAATTTATGAAATCTTGGTGAACAATAATGCCATACGATCTTGCATGGATTATTACATGTTTTTTAGGGTTTGCTCATTATTTTGTTAAGTACAATGCGAATACACTATGCTACCCCTCATTGGTCACTGAGAGAAATAAATAATAAAAATTGTAGAGAAATTTCAGCCAAGATTCCAGCAAAAAAATAACCATTCTGCACAGTAAATCAGATACAAGTTGGCAAAAAAAGGAAAAGTTATTATTTTTAATAGTGAAAATTATGGTTAGAATAGTAAAAATTTCTATGCAGAAAAGTAAAATTAATTAATCGATCTTTTTAAGGTTTACTGTTCCAGCATAGTCATTTTTACTGTTCTAACCATGAATTTAATTACTCAGAAAACAATGTTTACTATTCAAACAATAATCTTTAATGTTGAAAAAAAGTTTTTTTGTTTTTTGTCAGCTTGCATCCGATTTACTACGTAGAATAGTATTTTTGCTGGAATTTCTCTGTAATTATTATTATTTTTTTCTCTCAGTGTTGTAATATTGTTTGTAATGCTAAGTTTTTTGGTAGTACCAAAAATAATTTTTTAATCATCATCTAATAATATTTTACATTTCAGCATTCGATGAAGAGAAGTGTAGGTACATAGATTTTTTAAGTAACAAACATTACCTGTGGCATTATTTTTTTTACCATCGTGGAAATAATAAAACTTTTACTGGTCTCAAATTGATTATTTTTTTACTACAACATTATTTATTAGGTGCGTACTTGCCTGTTACTTAAAAACAATTGTAAATTAGGGAACTGTTTTGACCTTTCAAGAGGTTCACATTCCATTCCAATTTGAAAAAAAATCTTAAAATCATGTGATAGTATCTTTAAATTTATAATAGATTAACATTTGGTATTGGAATTGCTACAATAATTGATCTTTCACTTAGTTGTCAATTGGTATGAAAAAGTATTCACAGTTACGTTTCTGATGGAATACCAACACTATGAAAGAGATTATGCATTCATTAATTATTGATTTATTAATGATATTATTTCTATTTATTTATTTATTTGTTTTTTTTCATTGTTTCAAATCGAGAGAGCAAACTTGGATAAACTTGACTTTTTAGTAAAGCTCGCGGTCGGAGAATCGCGTTCATCGAAAAGTATCTGGGAAAAAGTTATCTCTCGAGTTGATTGTCGCGAATAATGACTCCGGGCAAACAAAGATAAAAAGAAACTGAAGTGCACGTGCCGGAGTATTAATTTGCGCGATCGGGCGGAGAACCGACATTTTTCGCTCCAGCGCAAATAGGGCAATAAAATTTTATTGTTGCGCCGAGTAGAGGTAGTAGCTGCCGTGACGCAATTTATTGCACTGGCGAATCGACGGGAGAAAAGGAATCAGCTCGTCTGTTTCATAAATTATGCAAAGTGAGGAGTAAAATGAAAAAAAAGAGAGAGAGATAGCCGTCAAAAACGAAACGTGCACCCACACACACAAAAGTAGATCAAGGCGATGTTCGCTCGCTCTTTTTCGCGTGTCATCCACAGGTGATGCACGCGTGTAAATGCTTGTGAATAAAACTACCGCGTGGACTTGGAACGACGCTCCTTTGGGACTTTCCGTCTTCCGATACTGGTGTTACCGTCCAATTGACTAAGAAGCCGCTCGTGACCACTCACTCCTTTCTCCCTCATTGGTTTGTTTTGCGAAGCACAGACCAATGTCCTCGATGATTCATCGCCGTTTGTCTGGGACTTAACATTACTTTCCTTTTTTTTTTTTTTTTTTTTTTTCCACCACGCGCCTTATCGCCTCTCGTTACTTTGCGCGGCTGCTTATTTTTTTTTTTTTTTTTTTTTGTGTACCCTTGGTTGGGTGTGTTTTTCCGTTTGTCCTCGTACGCAACTTCGGAAAAGTCGATCCGTATGCTCGATTGCCGGCTCCCGGTGGTACAGGAGAAAAAACGATTAGCGCTTGTTCGCCGCGTTTTTCGGAAGTCCAATTATCGAGCGCGCCCGCGTGAACTTTTGCTTCCCGTGGAATTATTTCATTCAAGAAACTCACGAGGCGCCTTTTTTCCGTCCCCGTACTTGGTTGCATTACTTGTAGCCATTGCGTGTTAGATAGGAATTAAGCTTGATTAAGTTAATTTTTTCTTCCAAGTATGAAAACGACGAATCGATGGTTGATTAAGAAAATTTGATACTTTGTAAGACAAACGGCTTACCAAAACATGATGAATAATTAAACGCTGTTTCCAAACAATAAAATACATTCCTGGAAGTGTACTATCTCTATAATACATGATGGAAAACAATGAATGAGCATATTTCCGCTACTCCTGATGTCAACATTACAATGTTGGGACATAAACACGAGTTTTGGGGACTTCAGAAGAAAACAAATATTAGTATCAGTTGTTATGCACGTACGTTAGACAGTGATGAAACAAGACTGAAAATGTGCTTAAAAAAATTGTATATTTGTTTTACGGAAGTTATTTCAGTCATTAATGAAATATGTAACTATTAATGGAAACTTGATGACTTTTTCACAGTATAAGTTCAAGGGCTCTGTATTCAAGGACAACGAATAATTTATTTTACTTTTCGAAACTAACAGTAAGAAAAAAAACTAGTGAAAATAAGAAAAAAATCATTCACATTTTTCCTGTACATTTTCATGAAAGTAAATAAAACACATTTTTTTAAAAATAAGTTAATAAAATTCAGATTTTTAAGACACATTTTTAACCATACATTTATTACATCATTGCCACAATAATTAAAGTGTTTTTTTAATTTTCTAGAAATCTTTTTTCGTTCTCAATTAGTAGTTAGAAAATTTAAGTGTCGGTGTTAGTTTTATGAAGTATTTATCAACTAAAATTTTTTTTAAAAAGAATTTTTGTGTTAGATAAATAGTTTTTGACTAAATAAGTCAGCATCGACTAAGTAGAAGATTATACNGGGGTTGTGTGGAATGCCCCACCGAGATAACTATATAATATAGGA